CCTAATCCCGTAACTGTTACGCATCTTGTCACCTTCGATTCTCTTTCCCCAACACCTAAGGCTGTAGGTGGAATCGCTCAGGCGGCCCACGTGCTGAAGGCCGGCCAGGAACAGAATTCCTTCTCAGGAGTGAAGATACAGGGGAGGGCTAACAGTTCCTTAGCACAACACACAAGTGAATTTACACTAAAGTGAATTTACATCGAAACCAGCCAACCCGCAACAAATGCAGGTAACAAACAAGAGCAAAACACCTCCTTATTTTACCAGGAAAGGGGCAAAGAGAGCAGGTGACGACACAGAAAAGCCCATCAACGCTTAAGACCTACACCGTAGGATGTGTGTGTGAGAGAAGGCCGGGGAGGCAACACTGAGACATAAAACTCCAACAGCAGCAGAGGGGGAAGCCCAACGCCTTGGAGCATGGGGGGCAGGAGGCAGGCACCGCCCTCCTGGTCTGTTGTCGAAGTATCTGGTGGGCCAGGGAGGCCCTCAACCCAGGAGACTTGCTCTCCGCCACCAGGATCACAGGCCAGAATTGCAGCTGCACTAAGTGCCCTGCCACCCACAGGGAAAACACCCTCACTGCTTCCCAAGCCTGCTCCTTAACCCCTCCACCCTGACTCAAAGCCAAGGCACCCTCCCACCCACACCGTCAACCCCAAAGTGCATCCCAATGTTTTCTCCGCCCCAGACAGCATGAAGAACTTGCTTAAACTGGAGAGCCTGGGGCCCTCCCATGCACCCTGCCATAGTGCGTCTGGGGGGGTACCTGAATTTACATAAGTAGCAGGTGATTTGGATAAAGGGGCCCAAAGGCCCTGCTACCTGTTTCCCTTCCACAGCTGCATCTTTCACAGGGCGTTGCTTCTTACTGCCTCTTCTATTTGGGCAAAGACTCATGCAAATCAGTGACCTATACTTAAGTTACTCAAGCGGTTTGAAAACAAGAGTGTAAAGTTCAGATTTCTCCCACACATTCAGATTCAAAATGGGCGTTTATTTGTATTGGAAGGAATTCAGCAGGTGAAAGAAAACAGTGCTGAGAACGGTTACTCCTCATCAACAGGGTGACAACGCGCTGTTTTCTAGGAACAATGACTTTTTGCAGCCAGCCTTTCTACTTTCCAAAGTTCTCTGGTGTCTGCCTTCGCTGATTTCGAAGAAAATTGCAGACCCCGCGCTCGCCATCCTGGCCGCCCAGGACCTCCGGGAAGTCCGCGCTAAATACCTGCTGGTACAAGGCAGGCAGTCTCTAGTTTCCAAAAGACGCAAGCCGAGCGTCTCCCTCCTCTCACGCCAGAACACCTGGGTTAAAATTTTGCAAATGTAGAGTCCCCCCCCCCTTTTTTTTAACTCCCGCTCCGGTCCTCACGCCCTCACTCCTCACACCTACGGAGCCACGAGGGACCCTGTCCCATTTCACACTCGGCCACGCCAAGTACTGGCCAGTGTCCACGCTCCCCTTCCCGGGAGCGTTACAAGGGGCCACTTTTCCTGCCTCAGGTGGCAGGGGATTCCTCCCCAGCCCCGGCCTCCCACCTCCCCCTGGATCCCTTGCTTCCGCCACCGTCCCCAGGGACTCCGTCAAGTCACCCCCCTTTCTGGTGCGCAGAGTCCCCTCGGCCCAGTCGCGGGGAGCGCAGGTCGCTGCGTCCCGCCAGGCCCGGGGCGCACGCCCAGCTCACCTTCCTCGTCCGCCTCCTGGGCGCTAGCCACAACCAAGAGCTGCGCCAGCGCCAAGAGTAGCAGCAGCAGGCAGGCTTTGCGGGGCCTCATGGCTGCCGGTGCGCAGCGCGGCCTGCTCGCGCCGAGGGCTGCGGAGCGCTGGGCTCGCTGGGTCCGCCCGATGGGCTCCGAGCTGGGAGAGCGACACTCAACGCGAGGAAAAAACCCTCCAGGAAGTCGTCCCTGGCGATTGGCTGGGGGCGGAGGAAGCCGCGGGCCGGCCAATGCGCGCGCGACGCAGGGCGCGCGGGTCGGGGCGCCTCCCACCCGGCCACCCACACCTCCCGTCCGCCGCGCGCCCCTCGGCTGCGCGTTTAAAACTCCCAGCGCTAGCGTGAGGTGCCCCCTCCGGATTGGCTGCGTGGCGACCACCAATCAGCGCCTGCCACTCGGTTTGCGGGGAGCGCACAGGCCCAGAGAGGCGGCTGGGGAGAACAAAGGCGGCGGGCTGAGCTCGGCGGGGCGGGCCCTGATGACGCCGCGGGGCCCGATTGGTCGGCGCTGCTGCCGGGGCGGTGCCTGGGAACTGGGATGGGGAGGCTGTGCTGACTCACTTCAAACTTGGCAGGAAGAACACGTGTCCGTTCCTGGAGCCATGGCCAGCCCGGTGCTCCGCGCGCGCAGTGGGCAGAGGAGGGCACGGGGGCTCCCAAGTCCGCTTCGGGTTGCTCGGCTTGTTTATGGAACTTACAAAGGTTGCGCTTCTTTCCTGGTCTTGGGCGGCTGCGCGGGGATGAGCGCACGGTGTAGTGCATGCTTTCCAAGGGCTCATGCGAACACGCTAGGGTATTTTCCAAAGGATGCCTCCTGTTATTAGTGTCTCTGTGGATTTTCTGCAAGAGAAATACCACGTAGGCAATATAGGTGGTTTGCCTAGGTCTAAACAGGGTTTTGAGATTTTCCACGCTTGACCACTTTGGAGAAGCAAGCACGGTTAAGAAAATAACTTGTTGCGTCAGGAAAGAAGCCTTTAATATGCATTAGGATTTGAGGCTTTGACACCTGGAGAAGACAGGGTAGAAACAACAGAAAACCGCAATGAAACTCAAGGTTTCCACGGTGTTTTTCTCCATGAAGGTTTTGCTAGGGCAATGCAGTGGCTCAGCAAGCTGATAATCCACCGGAGAGCTCCTGCATCCCATGTGGGTGCCAGTTTGTCTCCTGGCTGCTCCACTTCCCTTGCACCTTCCTGCTTGTGGCCTGGGAAAGGGGTGGAGGACGGCTTAAAGCCTTGGGACTCTGCACCTGTGCAGGAGACTCGGAAGATGTTCCTGGGTTCAGATCTCAGGTCTACCCTTTGTGGCCATTTGAAGAAGACCTTTGTCTCTCCTCTCTGTAAATCTGCCTTTACAATAAGCATTTTAAAAATCTTTTAAAAGAAAGTTTTTCTTAGCCTCTTTGATTTGTCCGTGGGAGTTTGGTAAAGCAGAAAGGTGTGAAGGTAAATTTTTTAATTTTATTTTTGATGATGTTTACATAGTTGATTAGAGTGGGAAGGGTCAAGGGTTAGGGGAAAGTGGGTGAGACCATTGTTTCCACATTTTAGTTTTTCTTCTTTCAGTGTCTGGAGGAAGAGGGGGATAAGGGGAGAAGCTGCACCTAGCCTCCCAACCGCCACAGTACCAGGGATGGGGAATGGCCACCCGATGTCATCCCAGGGTCCCCAGTGTGGAGCATGCGCCAAGGATTCATGTGCAGGTAAACGTAAGAGCAGTGATTGTTCTGAATGATTTATGAGTGCTGTGTCAGCTCTCCAGCAGTTCAAAGATCATCCTAAAGAATTCTTCCAAGGCAGTAGCACTAGTTGGAATTGTGTATTTTTTCAAAGTGTCTTGTGAGCCTTTATTAAAGTGAGAAGAAAAAAGACCCCATTGGCCCAAATACGGGACCAATATAACCGATTTTCCTAAGCCCCTTTGTTGAGTCAGGTGTAGGAAGGAAGCTTGTTAAAGTGCATTGTGCTGTGGGTTAAGCTGCCAACTACAGTGCCAGCATTCCATTCCCTGCCAGGAAACCAGGACACCTGCAGAATTCCAGCAAATCCCCAATTAGGTGTGAGATTCTGAATGAGACATATGGTGGGTTCTGTTTTCTTCTCTGTCTTGTTGGAGATTGGATAAAACAAAACAAATCCCCCTTAAGTTCCTTACAGTTATAACTTAGAATCTTTAAGTTATTCTATATGCTGTAAAAATGACTTCTTTCAGTGTTTATTTGAAAGGCAGAAAGACACTGCCATCTTCCATCTGTAGATTCAAATCTGCAGTAGTTCTGGCTGAGCCATGGTAAAGCCAAGAGCCTGGAGTTCCATCTGTATGTTCAGGGGTTGGTGATGACCCAAGCATATGAGCCCACATTTGCTGTAAGATGAGGCAGTAGAGCCGAGGATTGAACCCACAGAATCCAACGTGGGACTTGCGCGTCATGACAGCATCTTAACTGGAGCTGCTGGGCACGATATTGAGCCACAGTTTTCACATGACTGCATAAGAGGCGATCAAGGCATTTCTGGGATTGTGTATGTATGTGTGCTGTTTTCCCCTTATTTGCATGAACTCCCTCCCTCCTTACACACTTACATCATAATCATGTATGTATGTGGACTACAAATCAAACAGAACCCCAAAGTACCAGAATTTGCACAATCTGTTTTCTTCCATTTATTTTCCTATTTTTCTACCTGTTGGATCTTCTATTTTACTTTCTACAGATTTGTCACTAATCCTAAAATTTTATTAATCCATTTCTCTCAACAACTTAGAAGTTATTTCCACATGCCTTCTTTTCCATAAGCTTAAGTTCTTATTTCACAATAATATTTGCTCCAATTATTATGAGTGCTTTTTTTTGGAAATTTTTGCTTTCACTTCCTAAATCATGATTCACTGAGGATATTTTTTCTTCCTCTTTGTATGAAAGTTCTTCTTCAAGTGCTTATAATCTTTACAAATCTTTATTTTTAAGATTGAAGGAATAGACAATTTAATTAGAATCTTTATGTAATTGTTCATGCAACACTTTTTTTTTCTCTTTGAAGATTTATTTATAAATCTGGATCAGATTTATAGAGAGAAGAAGAGACAGATCTTCTGTCTGCTGGTTTATTCCTTAAATGGCCTCAACAGCTGGGGCCGAGCCAATCTAAAGCCAGGAGCCAGGAGCTTCTTCTGGGTCTCCCACATGGGTGCACAGTCCCAAGGCTTTGGGCCATCCTGGATTGCTTTCCCAGGCCACAAGCAGGGAGCTGGATGGGAAGTGGGGCAGCTGGGACATGAACTAGTGCCATATGGGATTCTAGCTCATGCAGGGTGAAGACTTTAGCCATTAGGTTACTGCGTCGAGCCCTCCTGGACTGTTCTGCTGGGTTATGTTCCCTCAGCTCCAGTCAGCTTCAATCATCGCAAACAACTGGCTAAGCCTTTCCTTCACGTCAGGCTGGGCTGGAGGACGGAAGGATTTGGCGTGCACTCTGGCGTGCTCAGCCAATTTGGATTTATAGATGAAGCCCTTCCCACAGTCCCCGCAGGCGAAGGGCCTGTCAGGCCTGTGGATGCGCTGGTGCCGAAGCATGTGGCCTCTCTCCCGGAAGTTTTTATCACACTCAGGGCAGTGGAAAGGTCTCTCCCCTGTGTGCAGGCCCTGGTGGCTAAGCAGCTGGGCCTTCAGACGGAAGCTCTTGTCACACTTGGGACACTGGAAGGGCTTCTCTCCCGTGTGCGTCCTGATGTGTTCGATGAGCTTGGACTGTTTGGCAAAGCCCTTGCCACACTCACAGGAGAAGGGCATCTTGCCGCTGTGCAGCAGCTGGTGGGCCTTCATGTCGGCTTTCACGCGGTAGCTCTTGCCGCACTCCGGGCACTGGAAGGGCCTCTCCCCGGTGTGCAGGCGCTGGTGGCTCAGCAGCTGCCCTTTCAGGCGGAAGCTCCGCTCGCACTGCGGGCACGGGAAGGGCCTCTCCCCGCTGTGGACGCGGAAATGCTCGGTGAGCTTGGACTGCCTGGTGAAGCCCTTGCCACACTCCCCGCACGAGAAGGGCCGCTCCTTGCTGTGAGTGCGCAGGTGGGCCTTGAGGATGCCCTTCAGTCGGAAGCTCTTGTCGCACTCCGGGCACCGGAAGGGCCTCTCGCCACTGTGCACCCTGAGGTGCTCGCGCAGCTTGCACTGGTGCGTGAAGCCCCTGCCACACTCTCCGCAAGAGAACGGCCTTTCTCCGCCGTGCCGGAGCCGGTGGGTTCTCAGCATGCCCTTCAGACGAAAGCTCTGCCCACACTCCAGGCACCGGAAGGGCTTCTCCGTGTGCAGCCGCTGGTGCCTCAGCAGCTGCCCCCGTTGGCGGAAGCTCCTGTCACACTGGGCACACAGGAAAGGCTTCTCTCCGGGGAAGCCTGTGCCACGCTTCCGGCAGGAGATGCGCCGTTCCCCACCGCGTCCACGCATGCGGAAGCACCTGCCGCGTCCTGGACACGGGCGGGGCTTTTCTCCCAAGTGTGCCAAGTGTCCTGCGAGCTTGGCGCGCGTGGAGAAGCCCCTGCAGCACTCAGGGCAAGCGCAGGGCTGCTGTCTGCCACACCTGCGCTGCGGGGCCTCCGCGCCCACTTCCCCATGGCAGGGCTCCTCACAGTCCACGCGTGGGCCTAGCTTTTGTCCTGGTCGTACACTGGTGACGGCCCTGCGGCCTCCTTTCCAGGGCCCCGGCCTCGCTGTGCCGGGCAGGCATGGCTGCGCCTGCGCATTGCTCCTCAGGCGGAAACTCTTGCCACACGCGGGAAGCTGGACAGCCCTCTCCCCCTTGTGCGTGAGGCGGTGGCTGAGAAGGGTCCGCTTGTGGCAGAAGCACATTTTGCATTCAGGACACTGGAATGGCCTCGTCCTAGAGCGGGCAGTCAGATGTCTCAGCAGATACTGCGTCAGGCGGAAGCTCTCCCCGCACTCCTGGCACCGGAAGTGCCTCTCTGGCCGGGGGACGCTGTCCTGCTGCTGCTGTGGCCCAGCTCGTGTGCTGCACGTCAAGGCCTTATGTGGCAGGTGGTCGGAGTGGCTCCTCTGGTGCTTCACTAAATGCTCCTTCTTGCCACAGCTTTCCCCGCAGTCAGGGCAGGGGCGCTCGGGGCCCTCCCGGGACAGCCCCAGCGCTCTGCGACCTGGGAGTCCTTCTCTGGGGAGACATCTCCCGGGGCCGTGGACTGCTGCCTTAGCATCACCTGGGCTATGTCTCCGTAGATTCTTGGTCTCTGCCTTCGTGGAGCCTTGGGCAAGCTCGAAGGAAACATCTTCCCTGTCTGCTGACATGAGCCTGAAAGAATGCTGACTCTGAAGCGGGTCTGACCGGAAATGGCATTTAATTTCTCCTGAGCTCACAGGCTGCTGGCTTCCTGAAACTGAAGACAGTCAGTCAGTTAGTTTTCCTGTCAACCGCGTCAAGTGGTCTGTACCAGTTTCCCCGGGGTAGCCTGGGAACCAGGCTTCCATATCATGTGGGTCTGCTTTCATCAGCAAAATGAATTTGGTGACAGTCTGTGAAACTAAACTGAACAAGCATAGATTTTTAAAAACTGAAGGGGCTGGTGTTGTAGTGTGACACGTGAAGCTGCTGTCTGGTGCCGTCATCTAACACAGGCACTGATTCTGAGTCCTGGATGCACCATCCAGTTCCTTGTAATGCATCTGGGAAAAGCAGAGGACGATGCCCAAGGCCTTGGGCCTATGCCACCCACATGGGAGGCCTGGAAGAAGCTTTGGTTGTTGGTCCCAGCTGCTGTGGTCTTCTGGGAGTAAATCAGAGGATTAAAGAGCTCGCTCTCTCTTTCTCTCTGTAACTTTTTCTTCCTTTCTGTAACTCTTTCAAGTAAATAAGTAAATCTATATTTAAAAAAAAAAAGAAACTTTGAGAGATAGAGAGCTCCTATCCACTGGTTTAATCCCCAAATATCCAAAACAACGGGACTGAGGCGGGAGCCAGGAAGGTGGCAGAAACCAAATTACTATGGGTGATCCCAGCTGCCTGCCAGGGTCTGCACTGGCAGGAAGCTGGAGCTGACTAGCAAGCCCAGGCACTCTGACAGAAAAAGCTAGGAGTCTTAACCATTATTCTAAATACCTCTCCCTGAACAGCAATGCTTATAATAATACTGAAAAGAGGAAAACACGGGTTGCAAATGTGGATAGCTAAGCTCCAGAATTAGACTGCGGCCATTTGTCCACTGGGCAATTTCTGTCAGGCTAATCTCTTTCACTTCATTCCCTTCTTCTAGAAGAACAGGGGAGCAGCAGCACTTGGGACTGGGGTGTTACATGAGTGAATGTGCGTGAGGGTCCTAGCATGGTGCCAGCATGGTGCGTGCACTCTTGAGTGTTGACTCACTGCTTCTGAAGCGCCCCAGTCCAGCAGACAGCATATCATTCTAACCTGATGTGGAAGTAGTTACATACAGACACTGACAGCAGTGAAGGCCCTAACAGAGACCCTAATGACATCTGTGCCATCTGTGATCCGTCTTAAGACCAGTCTGCAGGAGCAGGCTGACTCCTCTCTCCCTGCTCCCATTCCTACCAATGCTCTTCAAAGGTTCTTGAAAGAAGTAATAATAAATGGGAAAGAGGAAGCGATTTGTGGATAAAGACCTCCTAAATAAACAATTTGACGAGACTCCTTGACATGAAGCACCCATTAGACTTTTTCATCCTATATGCTGTTTATTTATATTGATTTGAATATCACATCAGCTAGGTCTGGACCAGGTTGAAGCCAGAAGCACAGAACTCCAGTTGAGCTGCCAACATGGGTGCCAGGGACTCATCTGCTTAAACTGCCTCTCCACTGGCATCAACAGGAAGCTGAATTCGAAGCAGAGATGAGACTATGTTCTCCAGTATGGGTTGTGGGCCTCCCAAGCTGCACCTTAACTCCATGCCAAAAGCCACTCTCATTCTGAACTCGGATGCCAACTTTTAAATAAGATCTATTATCTGTCTATCTATCTGGAAGGCAGAATAACAGCGAAAGAAAGGGAGAAAAGGAAGAGATCTTCCAGGTGTTGGTTGACTCCTCAGTTGGCTACCACACACAGGTCTGGACCAGGCCAAAACCAGAAGCCAGGAACTCTGTCCTGGCCCCCCGTATGGGTGACAGGGACCCACATACTTGAGGCATCCTCTGCTGTCTTGAACATCTATTAGAAGGAAGGTAGATCGGAGGCAGAGCAGCCAGCCAGGGCTTGCACTGACACTCCAACATGGGATCCTGGGGTTGCAAGCACTGCACTCAAAATGCTGGCCCCCTAAAACTGACTTTAACGAATCCAAAAATGTTGGCTGCTTCCATTATTACAAGAAGCAAATAAGGAGAGCTAGATGGTAAGCATTTAAGGACACAACAGCCTCCGGACAGCCAAGAAGCCCATTGGTCGCAAGGATCCAGGTAAGTGGCCTCTACATTAGCTCTTTGCCTCCTTTAAGATAGCTTCCAGCACTGGCTCCTGCCGCTGGGGATCATGTTAACACTGCATTCACTATCAGTGTCAGTGCTTTCACTATTTTCATTTTACACAACAGAAATTGAAATACTCTGAGATTTAATAACTTGACTAAAGTCATCCCAGAAAAGCAAGATCCAGACTTCGGCCAGAACCCACACTCCTAACCACTGTGCTTTATTGCCTTTCTTTAGACTTTCGTATGTCAAATATCAGCTTGGTCAAACAAGAAGATATAATCAGAAAACGGAAACTAAGAAATCTCAATATGGATCTTAAGACCATGACTCTGATTTCTTAATACTTACCGCAAAGCGACTGTCCCTCAGTTGCTGCATTGACATGTGGATTGGTGGAGGAGTGAATGATGCTTTCTGGTTTCTGCGACTCTTCAGAACTTCCGGACAGCTCTCCCTCCTGTTCAATCCAGGATATTAGTTCCGGTTTGGGAAGTCCACTATCTGCACAGAGAAGTCGGCCGGAGAGTTTGGGCTTCCTTAAACACTCCATGTAAAGCACAATAATTACTTCTACAGTTCTCTAAATGGAACGATATACAAGAAGTGCTGGAACAATGTGTCAGAAGGGATGAAAACAGCTTACAATCTTTCATAAAGAGGAACCACACTGACCCCTTACCACACAGTACTTCTACTCTACTTCTGATCTCTCTGCACCTGTTGGGCCAGGTGTGTTACTGTAACTTTGTCATGCCCCCAGTTGTCTGCAATGCTGTGTTTTGTCCAAAAACAAAATGGCATTTATCCTTTAAAATTTATCTGCGAGACAGAGCTCTCACCCACTGGTTTACTCCCCAGATACCTGCCACAGCCACAAGTAGATGGGCTGAAATCAGACACTGGTCTTTCTGAGTTAGCCCTATGCCATTATGCCCTATGGACAGACACATCTAATGGCTGAAAGTCCCTCAGGGAGCCATGGCCCGGCCATGCAACGGGATATTGCTTACCTAGAGAGACAAGCGTCTCGTAATTGGCTCGCATTACGTTTCTATAAAGCTGCTTCTGCGAGGCCGCCAGATGCCGCCACTCCTGCTCTGAGAAGTAGATGGCAACATCCTCAAAAGTCAGAGGGAACTGCAATGACAGACATGACACACGGTCGTGACAGCTTAAGGCACTCCAGCCCTGCCCACCATTCACTTACAATTAGCAGACTCCTGCTGCTAACCATGACAGCCCCGCCACCTCCAAGTGCTTCTGAACTGTTGATGCTAGCATACACGCGTGCGTGTGTGTGTGTGTGTGTGTGTGTGATGAAGGTAGGGTCTGGCAATGGAAACAAATCACTCTGAAACCTCATGGGGGTTCATTTGTCCTGGGTATCTTTCCAGGTCAATATTTGAAGACAAATCTATTTTTTGGTAAGTCACATGCCATGAGCACACATACTCTACCATTAAGATGCGTATTGTTCCCACATCATTTATAATATACAAACACAATGCTGCTTTGTGCTTCATCACATATTCATGCTTTCACTTCCATAAGATACAGTCTAAGACTGAGAATTCCTAAACATAAGGATACAGGCTGCTTCCGCTTTTATAGGTGCCATCTGAGATCTCCTTGTTTGTGTGCTTGTCAGTATAGAATCCTTATGGACACGTGTCCTGGTGCATGCTGCCTGTGTTATAACTCAGTACCCTCTGTCGGTGTGTCCTGGTGCAAGCGCTGCTGTGTGTTAGTGACTCAGTACCCTCTGTCGGTATGTCCTGGTGCATACGCTCTCTGCGTGTTTTAACTCAGTACCCTTCATAATCATTAATCAACTGTCCCAATACTGCAAAGTGCTTGTGGCCAGTAACCTTGTTCTACTTAAGAATGGCCCCAAAACACTGCAGAAGCAACAACGCTCCTGATGCGTATATGGCAGAGAGAAGGAATGAACACTTGGCTCTAGTTGAAAAAGGGGAAAGTTAGTTTACCTAATTTAAAAAAAATAAAGGTATGCTGATGTTGCTAAGATCGCCAATAGAATGAATCTTCTATCTGTGAAATTTTGCGCAGGAGAAAAATTTACGTTTTGTTATTCCACTCTAAAAGTTATGGTTAAGAGGAAAAAAGGCACCAAATTAGGATTTTACTGTCTGTTTCAGGCATCTCTGAGGCTCTCAGAGTACACATTCTGTGGTGAGGGACAGACACTGCTAGTTTTCCAGTGGATTTTAGAATCTCTTTAAGTTCACAAACAACCACACTGTCCCTTGATGTCACTTGTGAACGTAGCCGGGCCTTTATTGTAAGCAGCCTTTGCATCTAGCCTCATGGCCCAGCTCCCACCTACTTACCATTTTCTCTATTAAGGTGATGTGTGTCTTCTGCAGATTTAATCCCCAAACGTTGCAATTATGCAACAAAAAAAAGTTATTCGCTAACAAAAACGCCTATTTATAAAATAAAAAAGCTTCATTTTCAACAAACCATGAAATCATCCATATGTACTCCTTCTGAGCTTTTTACATCCTCTTAACACTTCTCTTAAAGTAGCTTCCTTTCTTACTCTACCCAAGCATCCCCACGTCAGTGCTAAATTCTGACCAAACATTTCAAGCACCCAGAATCTCACGTTCTTTTTTAAAACGTGTATGCAATCCGGGGACTGTGGCGTAAAATCGTGGTAAATCCGCAGCCCCTTTTTCCCAGCCTGCTCCCCCAGTAAAATCGTGG